TACTGGCCAAATTTTACTGTTATATTGTATGCATATAGGAATATGTAACAAATCTCATAATTATGTACRACCATAATACACCAATGAAAAAATGTGAAAAGAGAAAAAAATTGAATTCAATATAGTTTATTTTCAGTGCACAACTGAAATATATAATAAGGTGCACTTTTTTAGATAATTTTCTTTGATTTTAGTTAGAAATTATTTTCACACTTTCTAATGATCATATGAAAAATAAATTTACCTTTTTTCATTATTAACCTGGAGTGAGAGAATAATGTCACATAATTCACTAGGACCAATCTTTGCACTTTTCATAATTACTTGTGACTGGCAAGGTAATGAGAGACGGTCAGGATAGTATGCTTACTGAGGTTTCCACACAAAATAGCTTAAGCCATTAAAAATGAATATAACAGGGGCTGGGGATGTGGCTCAAGCGGTAGTGCTCGCCTGGCATGCGTGCGGCCCGGGTTCGATCCTCAGCACCACATACAAAGAAAGATGTTGTGTCTGCCGAGAACTAAAAAATAAATATTAAAAATTCTCTCTCTCTCTCTCTCTCCTCTCTCACTCTTAAAAAAAAAATGAATATAACATTGGGGTAATTTGTACAGTGACATTTTTCTGTTACAATTGGGAACCATTTTAAAATGTCATCACTCTCAATCCTGACACTGGTTTAAACAAAGCAAAATAAAACTTCCATTGACTATGTAGATCTTTCAGCTCGATATATAGCAATATGTAGAGAAAATGTAGCTCCCCTGATCAAGAAGCTACATTCAGCAGAAGGAAAATATGCATAAGTTCTATGTAATTTTCTCTTTCTCTAGAAAGATACTAGCTTTTAAAGTGAGTTGATGAAACTGTGGAATTCCATCATAATAGAATACGGAAATAGTTCACATTTTCACTTTAACATTACAATTATTATTATTGTTAGGATAAAACTTAGAATTGCAAATTTATTTGAACTCACCAGTTTCAACCAGTGGAAATGAAATACAGTTCACTCTCTGGGCCAAAACCCCCAAGCAGCTGTTGGGAGCAAGAGGGCAATAAGAACAGAAGAAAATAGATTCACTGCATTGTTATCAAGAATGGGTTTCCCTGCTATGTGCTTTGCATTATTTGTAGGGTTGTTGACTACCATGCCAGTGCTTTCATCCAAACCTGGAATAGAAAAGAAGCAAATAAGAATATTCAAATACTAGATTAAAAAAAGAAAATTGGCTTTTTCTCCAAAAGAGACCACCTTTGAAAAACTCTCAGTGACTTGTACAATGACCTTAGTAAATAATTTAAATGGTGAGATACATGGAACCTTTGATTACAAAAGGCCTCTTTGAATAAATAAGTTTCAGCACATCTCAATAATATTATCTTGGGTTTGAAGAGCATGGGATGGACTGAACTCAGGGAACCTTCTCTAGCCTTCAGTCTCTTCATGATGTCAATCAAAGGAGAAAATATAGTTGGTGACATGTGCAGGAAATACACACCTAACAGGAAATATCCGTAGAATGAAAGGGCCAGACAGCACCAGAAGCAAGAGACAGAATTTTGAGGAAAACTGACTCTCCCATTTACCTTGAGTGGGACTTAAAACTCAATGGTGGCATGCAACTGTAGTCCTAGCTCCTTGGGAGGCTGAGGCAGGGGCATCACTTGAGCCCAGGCGTTGAGACTAGCCTGGGATATCTAGTTAAATACTACCTCAAATAAAACAAACTACTCCAAAACTCAATGGTGAAGACATCAAGCATGATATCACAGTAGGAAAGTAGGTAATGTGTATGTAGTCATATTAGTACAATAACTATCTATCAAATGGACTTGAAGAAAACAAATGGAAGGAGGTGCATTAAAATGAGCTGATCCTAAATGTCCTACTTTCCTGGGATTAGATGGCTCATAATCAAAAGTGTCTATTCCTTGCACTAATGTATCTTCCCCTCTAATCACTGCTCTGCAGAACTCATTCTTTTTCAATGAATTTAACACAAAAGAATTAAAAAAAAAAAAAACCTGTGGAAGAGATTCTTCCCTGTCATTTCTGGTCCTTCAACAATCCTGTATCTTTGGGTTTCTTTTCCTTTTTACATCTTTAAAATAAAAATTCCATATCTTCCCCCATTTCTTTGAAAAACCAATAAATTACAATAATGTAATGGTCTTACCAGTAAATTGCATTGTTGCCCCTAAATATGAGTCCACAATTGATCCTAGCAATCCAGCTAGACCTCCAAATGCAATAATGGGCCACTGTGGAGCAGAAATGTCTAAATCACTCACAAAAACCAACTGTGTGAGGAAGTATGCAATGCCCACAAAGGTACCACCAAGGAGACTTGAGGCAAGTCCCACCATTGTAACACCTCCATTGGTTCCTAAGAAGAAACATAAATAAAATCATCTGGTTAATAATCAGTACATAGTCAAACAAAGTCAAACAAAGCTATGTAAAGTTAAAACAAAGCTATGTAAAGTTAATTACATAGCTTTGTAACATTATGGTAGCTATGTAATTAACATTAACTTGAAAGAGTTCTCTTTTTAATTAAAAAAATTTAAGTGAATCATAAAATTGTATATATTTATGGTATACCATGTAATATTCTGATACATGTATATATTGTGCAGTGTTCACATCAGGGTATAGATATCTCCTCAAAAATTTACCATCTTATCATGTTTAAGGGGAAAAAATTGAAAATCCTTTCTTATAACTTTCTAAACATATACAATACATTACTGTTAACTCTAGTTACCCTACTATGCAATAAAACAGCAGAAGTTCTTGCTCCTATATAACTTAGTCCCCAGTAATTAAACTTTCCCCATCACTCTCTCTCCCCTATTCTCCCTAGCCTCTGGTAATCACCATTATAAACTCAACTTCTATACGGTCTACTATTTTGGATTACAAATATAAGTGAGATCATGCGGTACTCGTTAGAAAGAGTTCTCTTTAATGCAATCTCTAGACTATAGCTTATTTAGAAAATAGTCCTTTTTCTTCAGTAACTCTCAAGATTCTAGTAGTGAACCAGAATGGTTCASTGGAGCTAGAATGCTATTTCTCTGTGCCTTAGTTTCCTTTTTTTTTTTTTTAACAATGAAAACAATACAAGAACAAATTCATATGATTATTATGAGTACTAAGTAATATTCTATGTAAAGCAGCCAGGATAGTGCTTTGAACATAGTAGGTCTTCAAAATGTTAGCCATTGTAAGAATAATGATAATGAAGAAGAGGAATAAAAAAGGAAGATGAGAAGAAGGTGGAAAAGAAAGGAAGGAAAAGAGAAGATTTTTTTTTTTTAAGAGAGAGTGAGAGAGGAGAGAGAAAGAGAGAGAGAATTTTTTTTTTTTTAATATTTATTTTTTAGTTCTCGGCGGACACAACATGTTTGTTGGTATGTGGTGCTGAGGATCGAACCCGGGCCGCACGCATGCCAGGGGAGCATGCTATCGCTTGAGCCACATCCCCAGCCCGAGAGAAGATTTTAAAAAGGAAGTAGAAGCAGTTGCTAATGGTAATAGGGGACTGAGATATACCTACATAAATCCTTCACTATCCACATGGGATTGGTTATACCAAAATCCTCGAATGCTCAAGTCCCTCACATAAAATGGTGTAGTACCTGCACATAACCTATGCACATCCCACCTTCCACATAATTTAAATGTTCTCTAGATTACTTATAATAAATACTAACACTACACAAATGCTGTTTAAATATTATTATACTGTATTATTTAGGAATAATTGTAAGAAAAAAATCTAAGTGTTCAGTACAGACAAAATTATTTTTCTTTAGATATTTTTAATCCACTGTTGGTYGAAACAATAGTTTGAAAGACTATGTTAAAAGCACTTATTACATAATAGGATCTCAAGAAAAACTCTATTCCTTATATTTTCCTTTCCCACTGATTAAGTCTGTGGGTCGGTCTCTATATTCTTGTACTATATATCCAGGTCTTGTTAATGTTTCCATCAAATATTAGTTAATATCAATAATTTAATATCCCATAGCAATTTTCCGATTAAGAAAACCAAATAAAATTCTTAAAAAGCACTTAAATACATTAACAGGGGTGTTTTTGTTTTTGTTTTGAAACTCAAATCAAGACTCACCCACTGGAACTTTCTCCCAGGTTGTTATTAGCCTTGGCGGGCTTTTACTCAGTACTGTGCCAACTTCTGAAGCCCAGGTGTCTCCAGCAGAGCAGGCCAGTGCAGCCAAGAGAGATAAACACATCCAGGAAGCAGTGTACTGCTTAGAAAAATCGATTGGTATTTCCCCGGGGCCATTTTCTATCATGTACAGTAGAGCCAGCTCAGTAGGCACAGCTCCATTACAGAACACYTGGATCCAATTCCTCTGCCCTCCTGGAAACAAAGAAGTAGATAAAAAACATAAGAAATGTTTTCTTCTCAAAAGGAAATGCATGCAGTTATAAGAACTTTATCTTAAAGTGTAGAAAAATAAAAATGACTAAATTTTTTTTTWAAGTTTTAAGAGTAATATGACACATTCACCCTCATTTTATGCTGGTATTAATAATCTAAAATAATTAATGATAGACTCTAGAGCTTCTAAAATGTTGCTGTTACTTCCWATTGCAGTAAAGTAAATGATAAATAAAGCTACTAAAGTAACTCTCAAAACTGATCTGTTGACAGACTAAATATGTTCTGATTAAAAGCTTATGTTATTAAATTCCATTWAAAAAAAAAGCTTATGTTAGGATAAAACAGTTAACCATTTTGAGTAACGTTGAATGTAATTAAGTTTACCTTCCTTATATTCTGAATCTAAACGCTTCTTTACTTCTCCTTTCCATTTTGTGAGTTTTGAAGAAGAAAGGAAAAACATCAGCAAAGAGGTAAAAAAGCTGAAATTTGCAATCGTTAGGATAAATCCAACCACTAGCCCTGAAAGAAACATATAGACACAGAATTATACTTAATCCATATATTAGTGCTGAAAAACATTGGTGTTTTTCAGTAATTTTCATATTACAACATGAATGTACACTTCTAATACATTTGCAATTTACTAAACTATTACCAAACAGTAAACTGAATGTCATTTTAATTCACTGATAAATTTTTTTTGCCATATTTTGATCTCCTTTCAAACAATGTTTTATTATTTGAGACAGCTGTTTTATAATCAAATTGCAAAACAGAATAAATGGCAGTGATTTTATTATTAAACAATACATATTACACACATACACTCAAATTCATAGTTTGAATAGAAGGCTAATCTAGAGAATTTTCAAATTACTGTGGCCCTCTCTGAGGTTGCAAAGATTACGGTTTTTCAAGTTTCTTTTACGATTTTCCCCTATAGCCTGGATTTTTTTTCCCCTAGTTTACAGAGGAAAGTCAAAGTTAATCTTTTTATACTTTTCTAAAAAAACTTTCATATGTTCTCTTGCTGAACCTCAAACTATGGTGAGGGGAGTTTTTCTTAGCTAAACTGTCCTATGTAAATCCATAAAATGTTACATGCAACTAAAAATGGAATATGTTCTGTGAATGTTATTTTATACTTTTAGACTTTTCTGTCTCTTTAGATATTTTCCCCCACTTCAGTGCTGAACCCAGGGATGCTGAGCTATATCCCCAGCCATTTTTATTTTATTTTGAAACAGGGTCTCAAAGTTGTAATCTTCCTGTCTCAGCCTCCTAAATCGCTGGGATTACAGGTGTATGCCACCATGCATAGCTGTCTCTAGATTTTGTGGAGGTAAACAAAGAAGAAAGACTGCATTTATTCATTTTTCAAAGGGTGACTGATTGCAAGGAAGTCTTATACAATCTGTAGTTCAGCCAGGAAAACGAAGAAGGAAACTTATATACTTTATGACACAGGAGGAGGGGGGAAAGCAAAGAAAAGATTGTAATCTCTCAGTGATGTGGGAGACTAAGGCAGGGGGATCACAAGTTCAAGACTAGCTTCAAAGCTTAGTGGGGCCCTGGAGATGGAGCTCAGTGGTAGCATGCTCCTGGGTTCAATCCCTAGTACTTGCTGTGGGTTATACAGGAAAGCGGTTATAAAGCCTCTCTCTAGGTAATTCCATAGGGAATAGAGTAACCTATTCTGGAATGGGTTAGCCTTAAAGGCCTTTTATTACAAAATTTGAAATTATTCTTGTGAATAAAATTTGGTGGTAGAGGGAGTAAAGTACCTTCATATTTATTATAATGGTTAGTTAACCCTATAAAAATGAGTCAAAATATAATGAGTGAAATTAGCCATCTATAAATATGACAAAAACGTAAAAGAAACAAGTGTGTGAATCTTAAGGATACACCAAATTCAATCAAGGTGACCCCAGGAAGTCATATGGGGATGTGACTGCCCTGAGAACATCTTAACCCAATGAATACCACTTTCCATTTGAAGAGTATGCTAATAGCTGGCCCCAGTGGCACAAACCTGTAATCCCAATAGCTCAGGAGGCTGAGGCAGGAGGATCTTAAGTTCAAAAACAGACTTAGCTACTCAGTGAGATGCTGTCTCAAAACAAACAAAACAAACAAACAAACAAAATACACCCCCCTACACACACACACACATAAAGGGTTGGGGATGTGGTTCAGTGGTTAGCATCCTTGGGTTCAATCTCTGGTATTAAAAAAAAAAAAGTGTGCTAACAGACGGATGTTAAGAGACTTCTTTTACTGTGGATCATATTTATATAAAATTTTTTTTTGTTTAATGACATTGTCACTTTTGAGAATGTAGTTGCCTCATTCAAATAAAAAATATCATAGCACATTATTGTACTTACTCTTGGTGCTCCAAGTGTCCCAGATTTTGTCCAGTAGGAGTCCCTTTAAGCTGGCTGCTAGGCTCTTTTGACATGACCCCATCCTCCCCCTCCCCCCCCAATATAAAAAGATATTTTAGGCTCATCCCAAACCTAACTTGCCCCATCCCTGGAGGCAGCCATTTCTCTGAGAAGTTGATTAATTTTAGTAGGCATTGAGACCAAGATCTAGGCTCTCAATGTACTCTCATGGTTACTAGGGTATTTTTGTCATAGGTGGCGAGGGCAAGAGAATGCACATGCACATATAAATATACAGACAACTACATACATAAGTATATACACACATACATACATATTTTAGAGATGACAAGATCACACCAATTCTAATCTATCCCTATAGATTCTCTCTTGCCTTCCCCTATTCCTTGCTCTGATTTTTTTTTTGTCCTTAATAAGGAGCCTTGATTCCAACAACAATGACAAATTCACTCATTACCTCAATCCTACATTGATTTACAATTGTCTCAGAATTGCACCACCCAAACTAAAACAAAAATGTTTACTATAAATAGCCTACTTGTTTACAATTTTTCTTCTCTTCAACCTAAGACTGAGGATACATAGTTTACATAGTTAAATATTGTATCATACTCTTTCTTTTTTCCTTTCAGTGTACTTATTCATTTGAAATGCAATTGGGTTTGTTTCAGTCTATTTCCAATTTTAGATTTTTCCCACCTCCCATCCTTACTGATACAATTTTGTTTCTTAAATATGTAAAATATTAATATGTGTCCAAAAGTTGAACTCACAGAAAAGGTATCATTAGAGAAATATTACTTCCTTCAGGACCCATGAGTCTCCTTCTATGTAACCAAGTGTATTATTTTCCTTCCTATGTTTGTTTATATCATTAACTATTCTTGTGTTTCTTTTTATAAAGATAAGCTTATATATGCATGCCTTTAAATTTTCCCTTCTGTTTTTACCCAAAGTGTAGCATTCTCTTCCCCACTCCTTTCTCCTCCTTCCCCAACCCCTGATGGATATGGAACCCAGGGCCTCCAGCATGTTAAACAAATGCTCTACCACTGAGCTATACCCAACTCCTGGCCCCATATTTTGTCAATTTTATTTTTTACTACAAAATGTTCTAACCCTCCTTACTCTATGGCTGACAATTTCTGTTCTTTGTAATTCTCAAGATAAATATATTCAGTTAGTAACTGAAAATTTTATTATTAAATAATATCCTATTATATAATACATGTTAATACAATAGATATTAAATAATTTAATATTAATATTTATTTAATAAATCTATTCATTTACTAAATAAGTACTAAATAAATAATACTAAATAAATAATATTCTATTAAATAATATAATAGGAGACCTGGTTGTTATTCCCATTATAACCCATTTTACCACTGCTCAGCTCAAGGTTAAGGTACTATAACCAGGTAGTTATTAATTGATTTAGCCAGAGATGCTTAATTACTGGCATTTTATTTAAGGTTAGTGTATTTTAATTGTGAGTTAAAGAAACAGGGTAACTTGGTATAAAGCAATAATAAATAGCTTCATCTCTGGAATTGAACAGTCTAGAGTTGAGGCTTTGGCTGCTCCACCTGCCTCTGTGTGACTAGGAAAAGGGACCCAACCTCCTCAAGCCTCAACTTTACATTGGTGGAATGAGAATATTTCCTAACTCAATGGCTTGCTGTGAACTGTTAAGAGATAATTTTTGGAATATGCTTATTATTCTACCTAGGATGTAGGAAGCCCTCAATAAATGTTAGCTAATGTCAGTGTTAATAACAGCAACTACAGTTCCAGTGGCTCAACAGTGATAATGATAAATACTGTGTCATTGTATTCAACCTTTAATTTTCTTCCACTGATTTTTAAAACACTACAAAATAGGCTATTTGAATGAAAAGCCAAAACATATGAAGTATAAGCAAAAGACAAAGTGTTTGCCCTCTCTCCTTCATAAATAGTCACTGTTAAGAATCTGTTCGTCTATCTTTAAACAATTCCAAAGTGGAATGGCTCTAAAATAATTTATGCACATTATAACAATGCTACAAAAGTTATCCATATCCCTTTTACTTTGATCATCCTAAAATACTACATGAAGTGACTCATGTTCATGATGATGTCAGGTTTAAATTTAAGAAATAAATTTAAGACACTCTTTGAAGGAATGATTTCATTCATGTAGCATTAAAATATCTTGGATTTTTGGCCACTCCCAGCTACACCTGAATTTTTAGATAAGTAGCTGCTATCTCTTGTTCATGTCTAGGCCACCTGCCCACTCTACCCCAGGAATTTCTAATTCTCATTAATAAGAGATTCATATATACAACAATAGGGTGCTATAAAGAATTTGAAAAATTAAGAATTATTGCTGCTGTCTTTTTGAGCTTAAAACAGGTAACTTCTGTACCCAACAGATGCCATCTGTGGGGTGGGGGAACAACACTGTTTACATGTGTCTGATAGTGGAAGTTATGCAACATCCCAAATTGCAATCAAGGTAATCTGAGTAATCTCTGGGAGAAATGAGAAAATGAGAAAGGCAGGACTATAATTTTGCAGGAATTTAATAAAATGGATTCTATTGTTTAATACATAATCTGCCTAGAGTAAAACTGTGGGGATAAAAAGATGGCTAGTTAACCCTGAATGTGGAAAGTGAAGGCCAAAAGAGACAGGTTAGCAAACTTTTGAACCCTGCCCAAGGGAAGGGGCCCTTGACCTGTGGACTTGCATTACTGTTTCCTCAGACTTCACACTCACCAAAGCAACCTTCTAATTATAATCTGACTTCTCATATGGTTTGCCTACAAGAACAGGGCATGCCTAAACAGTGATTTTTATATTCCAGTTTGCCTGGTAGTTCGACATTCTATGAGATTAATAAAGTGGCATTCTGGCTCACATAGCAATCTCTTATGACAATGAGCAACACCCACCTAGTTTTCTTGGTTATATCAAATCTAGGAACCTAATGTTGTGAGGTTTCTACTTAAGAGAGACTGAACACCAGACGTGAACTATAGTGATTAAAAACAGGTAACACACCCTTGTGAGTACAACACAGAGTATCACCATGGGCCTTTACCAGTAACACCTCAC